GGTATGTATGGTCCCATGTAGCTCAATTGGTATTGCATGGCGCTTGCAACGCCAGGGTTGTGGGTTCGATTCCCACGGGGGGGCAGTATGAAAAATGGATGCACTCACTGACTTTAAGTCGCTCTGGATAAGAACGTCTGCTAAATGACTCAAATGTAAAATGTAAAGGTGTTAATGACTTAATGGTCCAGTGTTTAAAACGTTCAGCTGTAGTAGTATCTGGTCTAACTGTAGTAGTATCTGGTCTAGCTGTAGTAGTATCTGGTCTAGCTGTAGTAGTACCTGGTCTAGCTGTAGTAGTATTTGATCTAGCTGTAGTAGTATCTGATCTAACTGTAGTAGTATCTGGTCTAGCTGTAGTAGTATTTGGTCTAGCTGTAGTAGTCTCTGGTCTAGCTGTAGTAGTATCTGGTCTAGCTGTAGTAGTATTTGGTCTAGCTGTAGCAGTATCTGATCTAGCTGTAGTAGTATCTGATCTAGCTGTAGTAGTACCTGGTCTAGCTGTAGTAGTATTTGATCTAGCTGTAGTAGTATCTGGTCTAGCTGTAGTAGTATCTGGTCTAGCTGTAGTAGTATTTGATCTAGCTGTAGTAGTATTTGATCTAGCTGTAGTAGTATTTGATCTAGCTGTAGTAGTATCTGATCTAACTGTAGTAGTATCTGGTCTAGCTGTAGTAGTATTTGGTCTAGCTGTAGTAGTCTCTGGTCTAGCTGTAGTAGTATCTGATCTAGCTGTAGTAGTGTTTGATCTAGCTGTAGTAGTATCTGGTCTAACTGTAGTAGTATCTGATCTAGCTGTAGTAGTATCTGATCTAGCTGTAGTAGTATCTGTTTTAACTGTAGTAGTATCTGATCTAGCTGTAGTAGTATCTGGTCTAGCTGTAGTAGTATTTGATCTAGCTGTAGTAGTCTCTGGTCTAACTGTAGTAGTATTTGGTCTAGCTGTAGTAGTATCTGGTCTAACTGTAGTAGTATCTGTCTAGCTGTAGTAGTATTTGATCTAGCTGTAGTAGTATCTGGTCTAGCTGTAGTAGTATTTGATCTAGCTGTAGTAGTATTTGGTCTAGCTGTAGTAGTATCTGGTCTAGCTGTAGTAGTCTCCGGTCTAGCTGTAGTAGTATTTGATCTAGCTGTAGTAGTATCTGGTCTAGCTGTAGTAGTATCTGGTCTAGCTGAAGTAGTATTTGATCTAGCTGTAGTAGTATCTGGTCTAGCTGTAGTAGTATCTGGTCTAGCTGAAGTAGTATTTGATCTAGCTGTAATAGTATCTGATCTAGCTGTAGTAGTATCTGATCTAGCTGTAGTAGTATCTGATCTAACTGTAGTAGTATCTGATCTAGCTGTAGTAGTATCTGATCTAGCTGTAGTAGTATCTGATCTAACTGTAGTAGTATCTGGTCTAGCTGTAGTAGTATCTGATCTAGCTGTAGTAGTATCTGATCTAGCTGTAGTAGTATTTGATCTAGCTGTAGTAGTATCTGGTCTAACTGTAGTAGTATCTGATCTAGCTGTAGTATTATCTGATCTAGCTGTAGTAGTATCTGATCTAGCTGTAGTAGTATCTGATCTAGCTGTAGTAGTATCTGGTCTAGCTGTAGTAGTATTTGGTCTAGCTGTAGTAGTCTCAGGTCTAACTGTAGTATTATTTGATCTAGCTGTAGTAGTATCTGGTCTAGCTGTAGTAGTCTCTGGTCTAGCTATAGTAGTATCTGATCTAGCTGTAGTAGTATTTGATCTCCCGAGTGGCGCAGTGGTCTAAGGCACTGCATCGCAGTGTTAGCTGTGCCCCTAGAGATCCTGGTTTGAATCCAGGCTCTGTCGTAGCCGGCCGCGACCGGGAGACCCATGGGGCGGCGCACAATTGGCCCAGCGTCGTCCAGGGTAGGGGAGGGAATGGCCGGCAGGGGATGTATCTCAGTTGGTAGAGCATGGCGTTTGCAACGCCAGGGTTGTGGGTTCGATAAAAATAATGTATGTGCTAACTGTAAGTCGCTCTGGATAAGAGCGTCTGCTAAATGACTAAAATGTAAATGTAAATGTATCTAGCTGTAGTAGTATCTGTCTAACTGTAGTATTATTTGATCTAGCTGTAGTAGTATCTGGTCTAGCTGTAGTAGTCTCTGGTCTAGCTATAGTAGTATCTGATCTAGCTGTAGTAGTATTTGATCTAGCTGTAGTAGTATCTGTTCTAGCTGTAGTAGTATCTGTCTAGCTGTAGTAGTATCTGGTCTAGCTGTAGTAGTATCTGTCTAGCTGTAGTAGTATTTGGTCTAGCTGTAGTAGTATTTGATCTAGCTGTAGTAGTATCTGGTCTAGCTGTAGTAGTATTTGGTCTAGCTGTAGTAGTATCTGATCTAGCTGTAGTAGTATCTGGTCTAGCTGTAGTAGGATCTGGTCTAACTGTAGCAGTATCTGATCTAGCTGTAGTAGTATCTGATCTAGCTGTAGTAGTATCTGATCTAGCTGTAGTAGTATTTGATCTAGCTGTAGTAGTAACTGATCTAGCTGTAGTAGACGACATGAAACATGGACAACTATTTCTGGACCATTTTATTTTGCTTGTAAAATACTGATAAGCATACTGATTATATATATATATATATATATATATATATATATATATATATATATATATATTATTTAGTTTCAATAGAATGGCTGACAAATTAACATATTAGTAGTAATAGTAGTGGAAATTGGTTTGCGTTTAGTTTTGGATCATAATGGTAAGCTCATGAGTTAGACACAATTCTGTTAGTTTGGTTCTCAACAATTAGGAAATGACTAATCCAGGAATCATTGAGTCATCAGCTTTGTTGCTGTATCCTCTTCTCTTTTTGTGACATCGACAAGGACTGGAAGTTTGACTCAGTTTTAGTGTTAGTTTAGGGGAGATAAATAGCTGGGTTAGCTAGGTAGTTAGTTTGGACGAGATAAATGCTGGGTTAGCTAGGTAGTTAGTTTGGACGAGATAAATGCTGGGTTAGCTAGGTAGTTAGTTTGGACGAGATAAATGCTGGGTTAGCTAGGTAGTTAGTTTGGACGAGATAAATGCTGGGTTAGCTAGGTAGTTAGTTTGGACGAGATAAATAGCTGGGTTAGCTAGGTAGCTAGTTTGGGGGAGATAAATGCTGGCTTAGCTAGGTAGTTAGTTTGGGGGAGATAAATGCTGGGTTAGCTAGGTAGTTAGTTTGGACGTGATAAATGCTGGGTTAGCTAGGTAGGTAGTTTGGGGGAGATAAATGCTGGGTTAGCTAGGTAGTTAGTTTGAGGGAGATAAATGCTGGGTTAGCTAGGTAGGTAGTTTGGGGGAGATACATGCTGGGTTAGCTAGGTAGTTAGTTTGGACGTGATAAATGCTGGGTTAGCTAGGTAGGTAGTTTGGGGGAGATAAATGCTGGGTTAGCTAGGTAGTTAGTTTGAGGGAGATAAATGCTGGGTTAGCTAGGTAGGTAGTTTGGGGGAGATAAATGCTGGGTTAGCTAGGTAGTTAGTTTGAGGGAGATAAATAGCTGGGTTAGCTAGGTAGTTAGTTTGGGGGAGATAAATGCTGGGTTAGCTAGGTAGTTAGTTAGGGGGAGATAAATGCTGGGTTAGCTAGGTAGTTAGTTAGGGGGAGATAAATGCTGGGTTAGCTAGGTAGTTAGTTTGGACAAGATAAATGCTGGGTTAGCTAGGTAGTTAGTTTGGACAAGATAAATGCTGGGTTAGCTAGGTAGTTAGTTTGCGGGAGATAAACGCTGGATTAACTAGGTAGTTAGTTTGAGGGAGATAAATAGCTGAAGGAGATAATGGGAGATAATGGATACCTTGTGTCTCTCTAATCAATCAGTCAGGGTAGTGTTAAATAGCTTGACCACCTCTGAGGGTCAAAGGACAACTCAAGTTACCAACCTCAGTCTTCCAGATCGGCCCCGTCCTGGACCACGGGCAGTAAAGGCACTGACAGCCCTCCACAGTAGCTGCAGTTTGATTGACGTCAATGTTAACATCCCTGCAGGGGGCAAGATGGTATTGGTTATTGCTCTGTCTAACATTCCTCTGAGATTGTGTTGTAGGTTTTGCATGGGATGGGAAAGTCATGTGTAGACCATTGCACCATTATACTGCCTTGTCCTGCAGTGCATGGGAATTGGTGTGCTAAGTAGACATGCATTTGCTATTTAGGATAAGTGGGTCTTGGAGCGTGTGTGTGTGTGTGTGTGTGTGTGTGTGTGAGAGAGTCTTCTGTTCCTGGCTTTTTCTTGTTATTTGATCTCCCTTGATAAGTATTGTGAAATTATCTGGATGTTTCCTGTAGAATGTAACCACAGACACGAACTTGATGACTTTGTAACGGGAGACGTTTGCTGGCGATTCACAACAGTGTTTCTTTCATTGGAAATCTCATGAAAGTTGAAGAGGAAGTGAAACTTTGCTGTGGGCGCTGGATGTTTGGAGGAAATGATGGCTTTAGAGGGCACTGTTGAGAGACTTACATCCCTAAACGCACACTAATCATTCATAAGGGAGCCAGGAAATTTAACTTTTTCCATAGCAAGCCAGGCCTAACTGTGTCAATTTGAAAGGACTGGGAGTTTGAGAGTTGCGTTCAAAAGGACAAACCTGGGCTTGTGTAAACAAAGGTTTCAAAAAGCTTTTATCAGCTTGGATTTAATTACATTTACAGACAGAGACAGACATCCATGGAAAGAGGGAGCCGACCTGTTAAAATACTATTTAGAATATGTCTAATACTTGTACCCTTTTCTCTAGCCTGTCTGGTGTGTCAGATGAGTAGGTGGTTGCTGTTTTGGGACTATTCTATTGGCCTGTTAGGCCAGGCAAGCAACAAAAAAACAAAACACAGAACGTTTTTTAAGTGATTTCAAATAGTATTTGAACCCAGGTCTGCATAGAGAGGGGAGTTTTGAACACTGGGGTGTGTAGCAGCGTTCATTGTGCTGAACTGAACAATCCCTGTCTGTGTGACTGTGAGTGGCCACTGGGCTCAACAGGTAATGGGTTCGACTGTAGGCCATGGGGAGGTGGTGCTAGGCCATGGGGAGGTGGTGCTAGGCCATGGGGAGGTGGTGCTAGGCCATGGGGAGGTGGTGCTAGGCCATGGGGAGGTGGTGCTAGGCCATGGGGAGGTGGTGCTAGGCCATGGGGAGGTGGTGCTAGGCCATGGGGAGGTGGTGCTAGGCCATGGGGAGGTGGTGCTGCTGGTGCTAGAGAGGTCACAGGTCACTTGAGGGGAGACCCCAAAACTCTGAGTCACCAATAACCCTAACAACACCCCTTAACAACCTCCCAACATCCCCTAGCTACCTTTAAAGCCCCACTCTCAACGTCAATGCATTGGTTCTTCTGCTTTGCTCAGCGATCAAATCAAATCAAACTTTATTTGTCACATGAGCCGAATACAACCTTACCGTGAAATGCTTACTTACAAGCCCTTAACCAACAATGCAGTTCAAGAAAAAATTTATAAAAAGTAACACAATAAAAGAACAATAACAAAGCTATATACAGGGGGTACCGGTACCAAGTCAATGTGCAGGGGGTACAGGTTAGTCGAGGTAATTTGTACATGTAGGTAGGGGTAAAGTGACTATGCATAGATAATAGACAGCGGGTAGCAGCAGTGTAAAAACAAAGGGGGGTGGTGGGGTGGGGGTCAATGTAAATAGTCTGGGTGGCCATTTGATTAATTGTTCAGCAGTCTTATGGCTTGAGGGTAGAAGATGTTAAGGAGCCTTTTGATCTTACACTTGGCGCTCCGGTACCGCTTGCCGTGCGGTAGCCTGGTATAGAGGTCCTGGATGGCAGGAAGCTTGGCCCCAGTGATGTACTGGGCTGTAATAACTACCCTCTGTAGAGCCTTATGGTCAGATGCCAAGCAGTTGCCATACCAGGCGGTGATGCAACCGGTCAGGATGCTCTCGATGGTGCAGCTGTATAACTTTTTGAGGATCTGGGGACCCATGCCAAATCTTTTCAGTCTCCTGAGGGGGAAAAGGTGTTGTCGTGCCCTCTTCACAACTGTCTTGGTGTGTTTGGACCATGATAGTTTGTTGGTGATGTGGACACCAAGGAACTTGAAACTCTCGACCTGCTCCACTACAGCCCCGTCAATGTTAATGGGGGCCTGTTCGGCCCGCCTTTTCCTGTAGTCCACGATCAGCTCCTTTGTCTTGCTCACATTGAGGGAGAGATTGTTGTCCTGGCACCACACTGCCAGGTCTCGGACCTCCTCCCTATAGGCAGTCTCATCGTTGTCGGTGATCAGGCCTACCACTGTTGTGTCGTCAGCAAACTTTAATGGTGTTGGAGTCGTGTTTGGCCACGCAGTCATGGGTGAACATGGAGTACAGGAGGGGACTGAGCACGCACCCCTGAAGGGCCCCCATGTTGAGGATCAGCTTGGCAGACGTGTTGTTGCCTACCCTTACCACCTGGGGGCGGCCCGTCAGGAAGTCCAGGATCCAGTTGCAGAGGGAGGTGTTTAGTCCCAGGGTCCTTAGCTCAGTGATGATCTTTGTGGGCACTATGGTCTTGAACCGGGAGCTGTAGTCAATTAACAGCATTCTCACATAGGTGTTCCTTTTGTCCAGGTGGGAAAGGGCAGTGTGGAGTGCGATTGAGATTGCGTCATCAGTGGATCTTTGGGTATGCGAATTGGAGTGGGTCTAGGGTATCTGGGATGATGCTGTTGATGTGAGCCATGACCAGCCTTTCAAAGCACTTCATGGCTACTGACGTGAGTGCTACGGGTCGGTAGTCATTTAGGCAGGTTACCTTCGCTTCCTTGTGCACAGGGACTATGGTGGTCTGCTTGAGAGATGTATGTATTACAGACTCGGTCAGGGAGAGGTTGAAAATGTCAGTGAAGACACTTGCCAGTAGGTCCGCACATGCTTTGAGTACACATCCTGGTAATCCGTCTGGCCCCGCGGCTTTGTGAATGTTGACCTGTTTAAAGGTCTTGTTCACATCGTCCAGAACAGCTGGTGCTCTCATGCATGCTTCAGCGTTGCTTGCCTCGAAGTGAGCATAAAAGGCATTTAGCTCATCTGGTAGGCTCGAGTCACTGGGCAGCTCGTGGTTTCCCGACCTCCGCCCCCTTTTTCTCCGTCTTTTCTTCACCCAAATGACGGGGATTTGGGCCCGTTCCCGAGAAAGCGGTATATCCTTCGCGTCGGACTCGTTAAAGAAAACATCTTAGTCCAGTTTGAGGTAAGTAATCGCTGTTCTGATGTCCAGAAGTTATTTTCGGTCATAAGAGACGGTAGCAGCAGTTACAAACTGTTACAAACAACGCGAAAAAACTAACAAAATAGCACAGTTGGTTAGGAGCCCGTAAAACGGCAGCCATCCCCTCCGGCGCCGTGACATTTGACCAAAGGTGAATCCCAAAGCTAACTAGTCTGTAAAGCTTTATACACAGTCACTTTTACATCTTGTTTTTTTTTGTCTGGGAAAGGAACGTTTTGTTATCTATTCTTAATCAATGAAGCAAAAAAACAAATTTTCTGATACAGTACCTAGGAATATAAAGCCAAAGTGAGAGATGACTGTGTGGGAAAATCCAAATCTATCTAGCATGCTGATTTCAACATGGAACCCATAAAAGTCGAATGGACCTTCAGTCTCGTCTTTAGTACTTTAGTCTGGTGGATAGCTTACCTCAACACTTGGAAGTCTCAATGTACACTGTGTTTGAATTATGTGACCTTACTGTTTATTTTGTCAGAAATCCATGGCTACCATCTTTGTTTATGCTTGCGGAGAACAAATCGAAGTTGAGTTACCATCTGTTTTGATAATCAGTCTGGTCTGGTTTCCAGGCTACTGTGTTTTACAGGGTTTCCCCGTAACCCCCCCCCCCCCCCCCCCCCCCCCCCTCCCCCTCCACCTCGCTGAATGTTAGGATTGTCCCCCAACTATGTTTCTGAGCTACCCCTACCCTCACACTAGGAGTTTAACAGTAGCTGATTGCTCAGAGCCTGTCTGAGGTCTTTAACAGCTTTTACAGTATAGTTCATTATGCTTAAAGGGAATGGTGGGGATGGGGTGGTTAACTAGGGTTGACATGACAAGTGGGTATACAATATGTCTGACTCAGTGGGTATACAATATGTCTGACTCAGGTAGTTTTCCATTGACTTTCATCAATGTTAGGATTCAGAGTTGGTCCTCTTTTACATTTTAGTCCTTTAGTCCTTTAGCAGACACTATTATCCAGAGCAACTTACAATTAGTGCATTCATCTTAAAATAGCTAGGTGTGACAACCACATATCAGTGGGGGGGAGATTATTTAAGATACTCTTTGAAGAGGTAGGGTTTCTGCTGTTTTTGGAAGTTGGGCAGGGACTCTGCTGAAGAGCTTTGACTGGGCTGAGCGGGATCTGACACCCGTAGGGGTGGGCCAAGAGACTAGAGCTGGCAGAACGGAGTACTCGAGTTGGGGTGTAGGGTCTGCAGGGGGCTGCAAGATGCCAAATACTTTTAGCATCGCTTTCCACAGCTTTGCCTGGTCTTTTTTGAGTGTGTTATGTATTGATAATATTGCCACTGTGTGTTCCTCACTAGAACCTATGTGTGCCACTGTTTGATTTGCCACCGAATGTAGCTAGTTAAAAGCTTCCTTTTCGTGGATATAGACCACTTATTTTGACTTAACTTTAAGGTTGACATTTTTATCCAGTAGTTACACCTTCGCTTGACCGTTTTACTCTTTGTTTTTACTGGCGGGAGCCTCTGTTTCAGTATCAGTCCCATAGTCCCCTTTCAGGAGTTTCTTTTGGCCAACCCTGGGTCAGTGGATTCCTCTGCTCCTTCTCTCACTCTGAGGAAATGAGCTTTTATGACCTTCCAGGATCCAGCTGAGCCCAGTTTAGATTTATTGTGGAAATATCTTAAATGCACAAAATGACAGAACTATGTGTATAGCATGTGGTTGCATCATTTAGCCTAAGACACATTGTTCAATCTTTTGTAGCCTGTTCCCAGATCTGTTTGTGGCAAGACGGCACAAACGAGATCTGGGACAAGGCTAGAGTCTTTTTGATTTGAAAGGGTCATGAGAAACTGACCTGTTTGTGTTCATCTCTGATTGGCTGCAGTCATCCTTAACGTGTGTTCTTATTGGTCGACAGGGTGATCAGCTATGAGTGTTGCCCTGGTTATGAGAAGCTTCCAGGAGAGAAGGGTTGTCCTGCTGGTAAGAATAAATATGGTTTATTAGCCTGCAAATCAAGTTATAGCTCAGTCACTTACTATCGATACAATGCAACAGCTAGTCATCAATTCATGTCATGACCAATTTGGGAGAATTATTTCTAGACCAGAGGCCTGTCAAACAAAATATGGCATCTCACTTTGGTTGTGAAATATATATCTATCAAGTCAACATTTGAATTTCATACATTCCCCCATATGATGGTTAAGAGTGGTTATTTTTTCCCCCCCAGCTCTGCCATTGGTGAACATCTACAACACCCTGGGTATGGTTGGAGCTGCCACCACTAAGATGTACTCAGAGAGGGCTCAGCTGAGGGAGGAGATCGAGGGACCAGGGAGCTTCACCTTCTTCGCTCCCAGCAACGAGGCATGGGCGGCCCTACCCAATGTGAGTGTGTCAAGTCTTCACAGGAGAGGGATACACTGAGCGAAAACTAGAAAACGAAGTATAATTGACCCCAAATCCTGTTGCATCTAGAGTCTCCCGAGTGGCGCAGTGGTCTAAGGCATCGCAGTGCTAGCTGTGCCACTAGAGATCTTGGTTCGAATCCAGGCTCTGTCGTAGCCGGCTGCGACCGGGAGACCCATGGGGCGGCGCGCAATTGGCCCAGGGTAGGGGAGGGAATGGCCGGCAGGGATGTAGCTCAGTTGGTAGAGCATGGTGTTTGCAATGCCAGGGTTGTGGGTTCAATTCCAGTATGAAAAATAAATAAAAATGTATGCACTCACTAAACTGTAAGTCGCTCTGGATAAGAGCGTCTGCTAAATGACTAAAATGTAAATGTAGAGATATTATAATATAATAAGCCATTTAGCAGACGCTTTTATCCAAAGCGACTTACAGTCATGTGTGCATAGATTTTTACATATGGGTGGTCCCCGGGGATCGAACCCACTACCCTGGCGTTACAAGCGCCATGCTCTACCAATTGAGCTACAGAAGACCACCATTGACCATTGTATTATGCTGACTGCAGACTACGTGTTATCAGCCTAACCAGCCATGTTAGCGTATCAAAGATCCATTTTTTCCCCCCCAAAGATCCAAGTAGTAGATACTATAACCAAGTCTTTGGTCAGTATTATGTAATGGTATGAATGGTTAGCTTGTGACTGATCATTATTCTGATGAAAGTAGGACTCTGGTTTTTTTATGGTTGTGTAGGAAATCCTGGATGCTCTGGTGAGCAACGTGAACATTGAGCTGCTCAACGCACTCCACTACCACATGGTGAACCGCCGTTTGACCTCTGAGGACCTGAAGCATGGATCTGCCTTCCCCTCCATGTACCAAGACTTCAACCTTCACATCCACCACTACCCCAACGGAGTGAGTAGCATCTGTCCGATGTTTAATGTTGCATTTATATTGGAAACACAGGCGGCTGGTTGGCACCTTAATTGGGGAGGACGGGCTCTATAGTAACGACTGGAATGGAATGAATAGAATGGTATTGACACATCAAACACAGGGTTTCCATCTGTTTGATACCATTCCATTCACTTCATTCCAGTCATTGTTATGAGCCGTCCTCTCCTCACCAGCCTCCTGTGATTGGAAGGTATATGATGTTGTGACATAGCCCATCTGGGACCAAGCCAGTTGGAACCTCTAGAGAGACAGCTCAACAACAAAAGAGACATGAACAGACATGTCGTCGTCTAAAAATCTTTACCATACGGTTTTGGTAATTTTTCAAAATGGTCACATGTTGACCATCGATTCGAAAGCCAGCTAAATCATCGAGACAAAATCTCAAATGTTCTCTCGTCATTGCAGATTGTAACAGTGAACTGTGCTCGTCTGGTGAAGACAGACCAGCACGCTACCAACGGGATCGTGCACGTTGTGGACAGAGTCATCACCGCCGTTACCAACGACGTGCACACTTTCATCGACACCGATGATGATCTGGAGACTCTTCGTGTAAGTAAATGAGTTTAACAGTTTGTCGCTTCATTCATCCATTCATTCATCCATTCACAGAACAGTCTATCACACAGAACTCTCTTACCATTTTATACATGTTGAACATATGCTATGCAATGCTATGTCAGCTATCATAATGTTACATTCGCTGATCATTGACGTGGTCTCAGTCTTTTGTATTGTATGTGCAATTTGAATCATGTAGAGAAAAGCAGTGTTCAGTGTGTGATTCAGTGTTGATTCAGTGTTGATTCAGTGTTGATTCAGTGTTGATTCAGTGTGTGATTCTCTGTGTTTTAGACTGCTGTTGCTGCTGCTGGTCTGACCCAGTGTTCAGTGTGTGATTCTCTGTGTTTTAGACTGCTGTTGCTGCTGCTGGTCTGACCCAGTGTTCAGTGTGTGATTCAGTGTTGATTCAGTGTGTGATTCAGTGTGTGATTCAGTGTTGATTCAGTGTGTGATTCAGTGTTGATTCAGTGTGTGATTCAGTGTGTGATTCTCTGTGTTTTAGACTGCTGTTGCTGCTGCTGGTCTGACCCAAATGCTGGAGAGCGATGGCCACTATACGGTGTTCGCTCCAACCAACGAAGCATTCAATAAGATCCCCCCTGAAATGCTCAACAGGATCCTGGGAGACCCCGTGGCTCTGAAAGGTGATTTATTTTTTTATTTTTTTAAGGGATCTTTGGATATAGAATGGGGAGATAGATATTGGAGAAGGAAACCCAATCACTTATTACCATGAACTAACTTCTACTTGTGTCTGTACTCTCCATCCAGACCTGCTGAACTACCACATCCTGAAGAACATGCAGTGTGCAGAGTCCATCACATCTGGTACTCCCCTGGAGACCTTGCAGGGAACTGTGCTTGAGGTGGGCTGTGATGGGGCTGACATGACCCTCAACGGGAAGGCCATCATCCAGAAGAAAGACCAGCTGGGGACCAACGGAGTCATCCACTACATCAACGAGCTCCTCATCCCAGACTCAGGTATTCAAACCAGAGCCAGAGACTTAAATTGAGAGTTGCGTCAATGCCAAATATAAGGCTGTAATTCAAATGATTGGGCCTCCGCATTCTGTTATGAGATTATTAGTAATGGTGATTTAGTCTGAGAAAGATCTCTGTTATGAGATTATTAGTAATGGTGATTCACGCCTGAAAAGGTCTCTGACGGTCATAGGAGTTGAGAGTCAAGTATAAGTCTGTCTTTCTGGAATGCTACTGCACTGAATATGAAGTAGATTATAATATAATATGATATAATATGCCATTTAGCAGACGCTTTTATCCAAAGCGACTTACAGTCATGTGTGCATACATTTTTTACGTATGGGCGGTCCCGGGGGATCGAACCCACTACCCTGGCGTTACAAGCGCCGTGCTCTACCAACTCAATGGTTCTTATTGAGACAAGACCTCAAGGCTACTTATGAGGAGTGTTTTCCATCTCTATGTGCGATGATAAATGTTTATATGTACTGATCTCCTTTTAAAGCTAAGACATTATTGGAGCTGGCCCAGGGATCCGTCGTTACCACAGCAACCAAGCTGTTTGTTGACGCTGGTCTTAGTTCCCGCCTTTCTGGCTCAGAGGCTCTGACCATCCTGACCCCTCAGAATGAAGCTTTCAAAGGTAACATCGATCGATGATGATCTCTCTCCACCTTTTTACTCCCCCCATCTCCATCTCTCTTGGTCTCTGTCCGTCTCTCGCTCTCTCTGTCTCTCTCTCTTTCTCTCACTCTCTCTGTCTCCCTCCCTCCCTCTCCCCTCCCTCTGTGCTAACAAACAGAAGTGATTTGAGCCATGGTTCTTGACCCATTTAATTTCATCAATCTGATAACTTCTCTATTGTTAACAGAGGGTGTGACGATGTCTGGTGAGCTGAAGAAGCTGTTGAAGAACCACATCCTGAAGGAGCAGCTGTCTTCCAGGTCGCTGTACCACGGACAAGAGCTAGAGACTCTGGGAGGAATCAAACTCAGAGTGTTCGTCTACCGTAACGTAAGAACCACCGATCAAAGCCCTCTAGAGGACCTACAGCTGGCATCAGATGATATAAAAGCCTCAATTGAGCTGAATTAAGAGCGCGATCTAAAAGTAACTCTGAGCACAGTTGTTCTTCTGGAAAAAGACAAGACTCTCTTCCTAAGGCATAACTCATTACATAGATTACTCTCTTTCCGAGGGCTAACTCATTACATAGATTACTCTCTTCCTGAGAGCTAACTCATTACATAGATTACTCTCTTCCTGAGGGCTAACTCATTACTATAGATTACTCTCTTCCTAAGGCTAACTCATTCATAGATTACTCTCTTCCTGAGATCTAACTCATTACATAGATTACTCTCTCCTAAGGGCTAACTCATTACATAGATTACTCTCTCCTGAGAGCTAACTCATTACATAGATTACTCTCTTCCTGAGGCTACTCATTAACATAGATTTACTCTCTTCCATGAACGACTAACTCATTACATAGGATTACTCTCTTCCCTGAAGGCATAACTCATTACATAGATTAGCTCTCTTCCTAAGTGCTAACTCATAACATAGATTACTCTCTTCCTGTGAGGCTAACTCATTACATAGATTACTCGTCTCTTCCTAAGGGCTAACTCATTCCATAGATTTACTCTTCTTCCAGAAGGGCTAACTCATTACATAGATTACTCTCTTCCTGAGAGCTAACTCATTACATAGATTACTCTCTTCCTGAGGGCTAACTCATTACATAGATTACTCTCTTCCAGAAGGCTAACTCATTACATAGATTACTCTCTTCCAGAAGGCTAACTCATTACATAGATTACTCTCTTCCTAAGGGCTAACTCATTACATAGATTACTCTCTTCCTAAGGGCTAACTCATTACATAGATGACTCTCTTCCTAAGGGCTAACTCATTACATAGATTACTCTCTTCCTGAGAGCTAACTCATTACATAGATTACTCTCTTCCAGAAGGCTAACTCATTACATAGATTACTCTCTTCCAGAAGGCTAACTCATTACATAGATTACTCTCTTCCTGTGAGCTAACTCATTACATAGATTACTCTCTTCCTGAGAGCTAACTCATTACATAGATTACTCTCTTCCTGAGGGCTAACTCATTACATAGATTACTCTCTTCCAGAAGGCTAACTCATTACATAGATTACTCTCTTCCTGAGAGCTAACTCATTACATAGATTACTCTCTTCCAGAAGGCTAACTCATTACATATATTACTCTCTTCCTGAGAGCTAACTCATTACATAGATTACTCTCTTCCTGAGGGCTAACTCATTATATAGATTACTCTCTTCCTGAGTGCTAACTCATTACATAGATTACTCTCTTTCCGAGGGCTAACTCATTACATAGATTACTCTCTTCCTGAGGGCTAACTCATTACATAGATTACCCCAAATACACTATCCCAAACTATACAAAGTATGATTGTGCCGTTTTCATATTAACAATGAACAGTTTCTGGCTGTGCATAATTTTCTCCAAACGAGTCAGAGAAGGAGGCCTAATTAGTTTTACCCCCAAAACATGTTTTCATCCAATGAAACAAGAGTGTCCCTCTACATCCTCATACTGTAGAATAGTTACCCAGAATGCTGTTTCACACCGTTTTCACAGCTCTGCTCCGTTCTCTGCTGGGTGGCAGATGGTTGTTCGGCAGCACAGCTCTGCTCTGTTCTCTGCTGGGTGGCAGATGGTTGTTCGGCAGCACAGCTCTGCTCTGTTCTCTGCTGGGTGGCAGATGGTTGTTCGGCAGCACAGCTCTGCTCCGTTCTCTGCTGGGTGGCAGATGGTTGTTCGGCAGCACAGCTCTGCTCCGTTCTCTGCTGGGTGGCAGATGGTTGTTCGGCAGCACAGCTCTGCTCTGTTCTCTGCTGGGTGGCAGATGGTTGTTCGGCAGCACAGCTCTGCTCCGTTCTCTGCTGGGTGGCAGATGGTTGTTCGGCAGCACAGCTCTGCTCTGTTCTCTGCTGGGTGGCAGATGGTTGTTCGGCAGCACAGCTCTGCTCCGTTCTCTGCTGGGTGGCAGATGGTTGTTCGGCAGCACAGCTCTGCTCCGTTCTGCTGGGTGGCAGATGGTTGTTCGGCAGCACAGCTCTGCTCCGTTCTCTGCTGGGTGGCAGATGGTTGTTCGGCAGCACAGCTCTGCTCTGTTCTCTGCTGGGTGGCAGATGGTTGTTCGGCAGCACAGCTCTGCTCTGTTCTCTGCTGGGTGGCAGATGGTTGTTCGGCAGCACAGCTCTGCTCTGTTCTCTGCTGGGTGGCAGATGGTTGTTCGGCAGCACAGCTCTGCTCTGTTCTCTGCTGGGTGGCAGATGGTTGTTCGGCAGCACAGCTCTGCTCTGTTCTCTGCTGGGTGGCAGATGGTTGTTCAGCAGCACAGCTCTGCTCTGTTCTCTGCTGGGTGGCAGATGGTTGTTCGGCAGCACAGCTCACATTTCTGCTTTGTAATGGAATTTCCAGACGGCCACAAAAAGCTTTTTTCCAGAGAGAGAGAGAGAGAGAGACCAGAGAGAGAGTGCAGGGGAGAATGGAAGGAAGCCATGTGCCAGACTTCTTGGTAGACTGATGGTTTCATCCACAATGGCACCCTATTCCCTATACAGTGCACTACATTTGACCCGGGCCCATATGGCTCTAGTCAAAAGCAATGTTCCCTCAACATTTTTGGGGCACTGAGCACATTTCAGGTCTGCTGAGCGCAAATTTGAACATTGTGAAAATTCTGAGCAACTTCCGGTGCGCGTTTACCTGTGAACACTGAGGCTGTACCCGCTTTAAGTTACAGTTTTAACAGTGGCCAAGTAGGCTACTGTGGCTATTTGATCATAATGTAGGCCTACCAGAGTGGTCTACCATCAAAAACAATGAGGATGCATCCCATAACATTTTAACATGGAAATTGCTATGCTATCATTCAGACTACAGTAGCAGCAAGTGTGTGGTGTTCAATGTAGGCCTACATTCCATGAGACTTTTTCCGCTGCAACTTGCCCATGCCCCCCCCCGCTTCTCCTTCACACAAATCCAGACAGCTGATGTTCTGAAAGAGCTGCAAAATCTGGACCCCTACAAATCTTCTGGGCTAGACAATCTGGACCCTTTCTTTCTAAAACTAGCCGCCGAAATTGTCGCAACCCCTATTACTAGCCTGTTCAACCTCTCTTTCGTAACGTCTGAGATCCCCAGAGATTGGAAAGCTGCCGCGGTCATCCCCCTCTTCAAAGGGGGTGACACTCTAGATCCAAACTGTTACAGACCCATATCCATCCTGCCCTGCCTTTCAAAAGTTTTTGAAAGCCAAGTCAACAAACAGATCACCGACCATTTCGAATCCCACCGTACCTTCTCCGCTATGCAATCCGGTTTCCGAGCTGGTCATGGGTGCACTTCAGCCACGCTCAAGGTCCTAAACGATATTATAACCGCAATCGATAATAGACAGTACTGTGCAGCCGTTTTCATTGACCTGGCCAAGGCTTTCGACTCTGTCAACCACTGCATTCTTATTGGCAGACTAAATAGCCTTGGTTTCCCAAATGACTGCCTCGCCTGGTTCACCAACTACTTCTCAGATAGAGTTCAATGTGTCAAATCGGAGGGCCTGTTGTCTGGACCTATGGCAGTCTCTATGGGGGTGCCACAGGGTTCAATTCTTGGGCCGACTCTTTTCTCTGTGTATATCAATGACGTCGCTCTTGCTGCTGGTGACTCTCAGATCCACCTCTACGCAGACGACACCATTTTGTATACATCTGGCCCTTCATTGGACACTGTGTTAACAAACCTCCAAACGAGCTTCAATGCCATACAACACTCCTTCAGTAGCCTCCAACTGCTCTTAAACACTAGTAAAACTAAATGCATGCTCTTCAACCGAACGCTGCTTGCACCCGCCCACCCGACTAGAATCACTACTCTCGACGGGTCTGACCTAGAGTATGTGGACAACTACAAATATCTAGGTGTCTGGTTTAGACTGTAAACTCTCCTTCCAGACTCACATTAAGAATCTCCAATCCAAAGTTAAATCTAGAATCGGTTTCCTATTTCGCAACAAAGCCTCCTTCACTCATGCTGCCAAACATGCCCTCGTAAAACTGACTATCCTACCGATCCTTGACTTCGGCGATGTCATTTACAAAATAGCCTCCAACACTCTACTCAGCAAATTGGATGTAGTCTATCACAGTGCCATCCGTTTTGTCTCCAAAGCCCCATATAATACCCACCACTGTGACCTGTACGCTCTTGTTGGCTGGTCCTCACTACATATTCGTCGCCAAACCCACTGGCTCCAGGCCATCTATAAATCACTGCTAGGCAAATCCCCGCCTTATCTTAGCTCATTGGTCACCATAGCAACACCCACCCGTAGTCTGCGCTCCAGCAGGTATATCTCACTGCCAACACCTCCTTTGGCCGCAATTCCTTCCAGTTCTCTGCTGCCAATGACTGGAACAAATTGCAAAAATCTCTGAAGCTGGAGACACTTATCTCCCTCACTAACTTTAAGCATCAGTTGTCAGAGCACCTTACCGATCACTGCACCTGTACACAGCCCATCTGAAATTAGCCCGCCCAACTACCTCACCCCTATATTGTTATTTATTTTGCTCATTTGTACCCCAGTATCTCCATTTGCACATCATCTCTTGCACATCTATCATTCCAGTGTTAATACTAATTGTAATTATTTTGCACTATAGCCTATTTATTGCCTTACCTCCATAACTTGCTACATTTGCACACACTGTATATATATGTATTTCTGTTGTATTTTTGACTTTGTTTTGTTTTACCCCATATGTAACTCTGTGTTGTTGTTTTTATCGCACTGCTTTGCTTTATCTTGGCCAGGTCGCAGTTGTAAATGAGAACTTGTTCTCAACTGGTTTACCTGGTTAAATAAAGGTGAAATAAAATAAATAAATAAATAAATAAATAAATAACATGCAGGGCTTGACATTAACCTGTTCATCCACTTGTCCTTCAGACAAGGAGGTGACTGAAAATGCTGTGTTTGATGCAAGAAACCACTTTACAAAATACAATTCATTATTATTCCCATACCATTATTACAGAGAATCAGACAAATTGTGCTACTCTCTGCCTATTGGCTACTAAGCCTATTTAAGACCGTCTCAAATTACAACACTGCCCCTTTAAGACTCTTTACCTGACTGGCTTTTCAAAGATGGCTAGAAATGCACACATTTTGTGCTCTTATAGGAAGCAATAACTCCTCCATTGTTGACTAGAAATTAGCTATAACTGGGCTAATAACTCACTAACTAGCAAAGAATATGAACAAATGTGCACAGGTGATCTCAAAACAAGCGCATCTGCTCGCGACCGGTCATGCTGTAAACACAGTCCAGTTCAAAGTGAATGGCACAGATCCATATGTGGCAATGGCTATTTGCATATAGGCCTACCGCAGCTCTGATTGGTTATGGCGCACCGGTCTGTGTAGATTACGGGCCTGGGTCATGCCTGTCAATGCAATAGAATCCTACTCCAATGCGTTCTGCCTACAAGAAAATCTCTTGCACAGTTAGTTTTGCATACTAAGTCTTGCATAGTTCATTTTGTTTCGGTATGTTACATTGAAAGTGGCTGATATTGCGTTGATTCGAGCACAATTCCCACAGTAGAGGGGAAACGTTGATAGTGTTAACTAACAGGGGGAAAACTAGAAAGTTGAGTGAAGTTCAATCTTGCTGCATGCACCCGCAGCTTAGAGGGAACATTGGTCAAAAGTAGTGCCATTTGGGATGAAATCATGGTGATGGGTGGAGTAAACGTTCCTTTAACCTGTCTGTCTGTTCCCCTCTCTCTCTCTCTCTCTCTCTCTCTCTCTCTCTCTCTCTCTCTCTCCCCTCTCTCTCTCTCTCTCTCTCTCTCTCTCTCTCTCTCTCTCTCTCTCTGTCTCTCTCTCTCTCTCTCTGTCTCTCTCTCTCTCTCGCTCTGTTTTAACAACAGAGCCTGTGCATTGAGAACTCCTGTATAGCTGCCCACGACAAGACCGGACGTTTCGGCAGCATGTTCACAGTCGACAAGGTCCTGACTCCGCCAATGGGTACCATCATGGATGTCCTGAAGGCTGATAACCGATTCAGGTGAGAGTCAATGAATCGGGGAATGATTCAATGAAAAGGATTACCAAGGTTGTCTTCAATAATATCTTGAGGCATATATGATTCAATTTCAGAAGAACAAGAAGAACAGACATGTAGCGGATGAGCAAAAAAGATGGTCGCTTCTGCCTACGTAGCACAGCATGTGTTCAGCTTCTGTAGCTAGATATCCTGGGGAGAAGTTCCCCCTCAAGCGTCTAATGGTTTTCCCAGAACTGAAAGGCTGAAAGGCAATCTGCTGCTTCATTTCCACCCACGTTCAGAGACCTGGTTCTTTTCCGTTTTCTCTGTATGTTTTCACTACCAGTGATCTGTTCTGCCATGATTCAACTCATACATGTTTGGTACATTAGGCTCATCAGAAACCACAACTCATCGACGTGGTTTAAACTTTCCTATTAGTCAACTGTCAAGTCCTCTTTCTTGCTCTGAAGATAGTCTTTCTAAGTGTGTGTTCCCTTCTTTGTTCCAGTCTGTTGGTCGGTGCCATCCAGACGGCTGGCATGACAGAGCTGATGAACCAGGCCGGCCCCCATACCGTGTTCGCGCCCACCAACGATGCTTTCAGCGCCTTGCCAAAGGCTGACCTCAACAAACTCATGGGTAAGGACGGCCCTGGCTCCAGACATTCTAGTTTTTCTAGAACAAAGCTAATCTCAAACGAGAATACAGGGGGTTGAGGTCTGGTGATGTAAGACTAGGATATTTATAACAGACACCTCTCGGCCATACAGGCTCTATCATATTCATGTTGTATGTAGTGTATGCCATATGTGGTGTATTTTGGTGACTGGCATCCTGCCTGACAAACAACCAAAACTGTGAACAGGTTTCACATGACTGGCTTTGCAGAACACAGTACTTTTCCAGTAAAGAAAAATCAATGGCACCTAAAGACAACCTGATATGACCCACAGTGAGAATATGTTCGGCAGACAGACAGAACTATTTGTATAAACCTAATGACCTATCTACACCCAGGAAATTATGACATTAAATAATGAATCTTGGATGCTGCTACGCGTATGAATGCCAAACAGCTGTGGTTAACTGGAGCCAGTTGTAAAGTTACAGTATGATCTACCTACAGTATACTGCAGCTACAATTACGCTTGTTTGGGTGTTTAAAATCATTTATAACGAGAGAAAAAAAACCCACTGCTGTTTGTTAATGATTGCCTAGCCGTTTTGCAACAACTGTTTAGATGAGCAGGACACGTTTAGACAAATAGCATCATGACTTCATGTTCAATGACTTGGCCACAGCAATGAGAATGTAGCTGTAATGCTAAAGTTATGCCAAGGGCCTTAATTCATCAGTTCCATGTTGCAACTTGCACAACCGATTCCTCTTCACTTTTTAAGCAATATTCATTCCTCAGCAGTGTTTTAATGCGGGCTGGTAGTTTTCCGATTTTCCTCTGTTTGTAAATGTCTAGACCATAGTGATACAATATGATCTGGTAGGTGTTCTATTTCATTTTGTTGTCTAGGCAACCCCCAGGAGCTGGCCAGTTTGTTGAAGTACCACATGGCTAAGGAGATTCTGGTCAGTGGAGGAGTGGGCTCCCATACCAGACTGAAGCCTCTGCAGGGAGAGAAGCTGGAGTTGAACATGGTACAGTAGGCCCTCGTGACTGTTTGATCCTGGAACACATGATCCTGGAACACATGATCCTAGAAGACATGATCCTAGAAGACATGATCCTAGAAGACATGATCCTAGAACAATTAGATCCTAGAACACATGATCCTAGAAGACATGATCCTAGAAGACATGATCCTAGAACAATTAGATCCTAGAACACATGACATTAGAACAATTAGATCCTAGAACACATGATCCTAGAACAATTAGATCCTAGAACACATGATCCTAGAACAATTAGATACTAGAACACATGATCCTGTAACAATTATATCCGATAACACATGATCCTGTAACAATTTGATCCGATAACACATGTTTGATATTGATCCTACTAACATGTACTATCAGTACTAATATGTACATGTTTTTCTTTTTATTGATGATTTTGTTTTCAGTGGAGAAAAGAGGTACTTTCTTTTGTTGTGTACTTCTATTGCTTACATAATTTGTGTACAATGTATTGATATACATTATTTCAACATGACTTGATTGTCTTGAACCCCATGTTATGAAAGTATTAAGTGTCACCTTATAAATGGCATATGTCTTTCTCCTTCAGAAGAACCAGACAGTGTACGTCAACAAGGTGCCAGTGGTTGAAGCCGACCTGATGGCCACCAATGGAGTTGTCCACGCTGTGGGAGCCATCATAACGCCACTGCGTAAGAGCAATCACTTTATAAATACTGAATAAACCATCTCACCTTACTGTATATGGCATACTGTATTATCCTCCAACGGTCTCATTCTCTCTCTATCTCCTCCAGCTCCTAAGGTTGACAGGGAACAGGCTGATGCCCCCATCTCTTCCATGAGAGTAAGACATTTATAGACAGTTCACTTATCGTGTCTCTTTTGACTGTCTTATTAGATGACCGTTGTTTTAAAGCTGCAGCTATGTGAATGTACATTATCTTAAAGAGATTTGTTTTGTATTTGTAGATTTATATCTAAATATTGTTGTATTCCTTTCTTCACAGACGGACTCAAGAATCGCAGTCAAAAATGGTAAATATTCTCTTATCTACATCTCCCACAGTCTCACGTGGTGCATTCCACAAAACAAACTGTTGTTGAACTGGTGTTAAATGTTGTTATGATCTTTGTTTTGTTTCAGATGATCTCTTCCAGAAGGTCAGGAAAAGTCTCTCCAGCAGGACGATGACTCGCGTCCAGTAAAACAAATTAAGGAGGAGAAAAATATAATTACATACGGTACATCAACACAAATCAGGGGATTGTTCCTTTTGTTTATGGAATATATTCTTATCTGGAACTCTCAAAGGTAGTCTTATCGATCAAATTTTGTCAAAGATGGTCAACGTGAATAATAACCCAGCATTAGATGAAGAAAGAGATGGGATATCTCTTAGTGGAATATGTTGTAGTATTGCTTTCATATACCAAAGACCGAAGATTTGAATTTAATAGAATTACTTGTCTGTTTTCTTTTATGTGAAAAGTGTAAACCAAAGCACAGCAACTAGCTATGACTACATATACTGTAGTTTCATGAAAGTGCTTTGAATGTTCACACGTGACTTCTGTTTTAAATGTAAACGCAGAGCAGATTTTTTTTTGAGAAATGTATACTGTATTTTGTTTTGATATGATAGATGTAGCATGTTTGCATGTTTAGCCTGGAACGGAAAAAAAGCTATTTGGGCACACGCAAATGGAGGTCAAAGTCATGTTCGGATTCTCTTACATTTTTTAATTAAACCTTTTGAAAATAGTAATTCACCCATATTCAAGTCACATGCATTCCATTTGTAACATACTGTAGCAATATATTTTGTGTGGAAACCAAAGAGCAATGTCTGCACATTTCAAAAATAAAATGTTCATTTTGTAGCCACAGAATTTGTTTGGATTTATTAAAGTTCTATCCATGAGGACACTAAAGTGTTTCACGGCACTTGTGTAATATTATATCATCTTATCTGCGTTCCAAACGGCAGCCTATTTCCTTTATAGTGTACTACTTTTGTATAGGGAATAGGGTGCCGTTTGGGACGTAGCCTACCCAATGTCTGAGAACAAGGTCTTCCTTCTGTTTGAATTAGACTAACTCCTGCTGAAAACCACCATCACAGGTCCATCTGCAGAACAACGTCAACACCTCACTGTTCAGGAACTGAAAACTGAATTGGACATTTTTTCTCATCCATGTGATATCAATAATAATTTAATCCAAGACCAATACTTTCAATTCACCACTCACGAACATTGACTTTAATGTTAAGTTTTAAAATCTCTTTGAAGTTTGTGTATGTATTTTCTCTGGAGGGGGGGAAAAGGAAGAATTGTTATCTGTAAAGAAATTAGAACATAGGAACCCTTCCAGTTTCTTGGTTGAGCCCATGGGAAGGGCCGTGTACAGGAGTGTTGTAAGGGAGAGAGAGAGAGAGAGACAGATATATGCATACAATAGCCAGCTCCCAGTTGGCAGGCCTCCCGGCAAATGATCCGGAACAATGAATGAAACATTCCAAAAGTGTTTTACACTCTGGACCAGACACTACCAAGCTGTTGGAGCTACAGGGGGCAGAGCGAGCACTGGCTAGGAGCCCTGGTCAGGAACGGAAGGCCACTGACTGTTCTGGATGCCAAGAAATCTATTAAACAAGTCAAAATATTGTGAGACAGATTATGGAGAAGGCAAAGGTCAAAGCACTCATTAGAGTTCTGGAATTCCCGCCGGATTCTAGAACTCTCTCTAATGTCAGAGTTCTGATTTTCTAAGAGACTTGTTGCTCTAGGTAACAGATGGAGCAAACGAGGTCAGGAAGAGTAATAATGTAGTTACATCCTTACTATTACATCAGTAACCAAACATATAGTGACTTAATGTTGTTGCTGGATGTCATGTAGTTTATTACATGCTACTAGTAGCCTATAGTATATTCTGCAGCAAGACATGGTAGATTGGCGCACCATTTGAAATGCAATAGTCTTGCAAGTTCAGAGGGTTTCTATGTCAATGTACCCATTGTTTAAGTTCAATCCTCTGTTTCATTCATTCTGTACCTTAACTGTGCCCTCCTGGACTATGAGGAAGTCGGTCTAGCGCCTGTTATTGCCCTGTAACATGGAACACATGTGGAACTATTAAAAACACCATGGCTTTAGGACTGCTTTTACCTCATGTATTCCTCTACTGGTCCTGTTCCTGTGGCTTTAACACTTCTTCAAGACACCTAGCCATAACATTTTCATCCCTGAAGACAGCTGTTACCCCAGGTAACCTACTAAACCTAGCCTGAGAGCTTTGTTCTTTCTATATTCAAGTTGAAATTCCAACAATGATCACTCATCTCTGACAGAGCGGGATGTCTTCACGACATCAGTGAAGAGGTTGTCTCGACCTAACATTCACCAGTTATACCTAAACTTTTTATAGCCTGGTCCCAGATCAGTTTGTGCCGTATTTCCAACTCCTAAGATCATTTTGATAACCATACTGATGATCATAAAAGTTGGCAAGACAGCATCAACGGATCCGGGACGAGGCTAAACTTTTGCTCCTCTGATACTTGTTACATAAGATTCTGTCCTTCTCTCTGTATTGATAGAGGCAGATGTTTCTCCCCAGAACGGAAGGCCTCCAGACCCTGTACCATGGTTGACCTGTGGTCCATCTGTTGCCCCCCTGATACACCCTATTAACTTGGCCAGGCTTGGCCAGGCTTGACCTACAATGGCCCACTTATGCCAAGAGGAGAACACCCAAGACGCGGCCGGGAATTTGGGAAACAGATCAAATGGGTATTGTGTCTCTTGCGTTAATGTGAGAGAGCTGTCAATAAAGATCTACAGTTTCCTTTCATCAAAGGGAGAGTATCTGTGTATGGGTGGCTCACACAGTATGGTACTTATAGGCTAAAATAATAGCCTACAGGCTAAGTAAATAAATGAGAACATAGAGTAAACTGTAGGCCTATTTCAAACCTTAAAAAATGAGTGAACATTAAGGAATGATAAAGGAGGGGAGTGAAAACCACAAAACAGACAGCCACCGATAGGTTTTCTGTACCCCAGGCCTTGAAATAGAGTAACACCATGTCCCTTCCATCTGTTATTGACATTGCTGTGTAGTTACGTTCTGATCCAGGAGCGCCTTCCCTCGAAGTTCTGTTCTGCCTGTTGACTTCTAGGCCCTTTGTAGGAGTTGGGTTCCCCTGTCTCCCCGACAGCATTACCATACTGCTAGGCTTTTCATTCTGAGGATACCGGTGGATACATGGTTCTCCCATAGGTTACAGCTGTATCATGAACTGTCCATTATCTGATTAAAACATCAATTCATCTACATACTTCGTTTTTTTATAACTTATCTTCAATATTCCAATGTCTAATATATTGTTGGGAATTTCTGTCTGTCTGTCTGTCTGTCTGTCTCCTCCTTCCTGTCTGTCTGTCTGTCTGACTGTCTTTCAGCCTGTCTCATCAAAAGAAGAGAACTTGCTACGTGTGAAGGAAGACTGCCCTACTAGTGGCTGACCCTTCCAGTTGCATCTTTTGGAGTTGCTGTAGCCACTGTCTTAACAAACGCCACAATAACACTGATGAACAAACGCAGATTGTACGTGTCGAATCAGACAAAACACTAACCAACAAACATAGACGAGCAGCGAACACCTCTCCAACTCCAACTCTGTTTTTTGGTCGGTGGTTGTTCAATGGCGTTTGTTGCAGTTTGTTGTGGGGGTGTGTAAGCGCTTTCACGTGATTCTCACTAGGCTACACATTACTTCATAATTTCATTCTAAGGTGAAAAGATAGCAGTTGGAAAAACGTGTTGGTCGCGGGAACACAAGTAAGTAATTCATTTGGTAGGGATAGCAACATTACTGCGGGACACACTCTCCTTTGGTCGGTTCTCTCTGGTGAAGTGAACCCCAGACAGACTGGAGCCAACTTGTGTGACGTACCAGAGCCGAAGCACAACCCTAGAATTCAAAGCTCGATACATTGTTACAATGTAGCCTAGATAAACTATACACTGTTACAGTGAATGGAGCCTATTGCATGTATGCATAAAATATATAGTCAAACATGAAAAGAGATGCATTCACACTTTCTTCTAGCTAGCCCTATTCTTGAATCAAAATCTATTGCTTCCTCATTTTAATCAAATCAAATGTTATTTGTCACATGCTTCTTAAACAACAGGTGTAGACCAGTGTTTCCCAACCAGGGGTACTAGGACCCCTGGCGGGTACTTGGCCTATCCACAAGGGGTACTTGAGAAGACTTGGACTCCCGAGTGGCACAGTGGTCTAAGGCACTGCATCGCAGTGCTAGCTGTGCCACTAGAGATCCTGGTTCGAAATCCAGGCTCTTGTCGTAGCCGGCCGCGACCGGGAGACCCATGGGGCGGCGCACAATTCGTCCAGGGTAGGGGAGGGAATGGCCGGCAGGGATGTAGCTCAGTAGAGCATGGTGTTTGCAACGCCAGGGTTGTGGGTTCGATTCCCACGGGGGGCCAGTATGAACAATTTAAAATAATGTATGCACTAATAAGAGCGTCTTGTAAGACTGATGAGACCATAGGCCTACTGGTAAGATGCTCATGAGGGGGTACTTCAGGGGTACTCCGGGCAGAGCAAAATCTACTTGGTGGTACATTAACCGAAAAAGGTTGGGAACCACGAGTGTAGAGTAACAGTGAAATGCTTACTTACAGGTCCTTTTCCAACAATACGGAGTTAAAGATAAAAATAGAAAAAAAAACATTTAAAAAGTGACACGGGGAATAACAATAAAAAAAAAAAAATAACACCAGTAACGAGTCGACGTGCAGGAGGATGTAATTGAGGTAGCTACCGTATGTACCAGTGGAGGCTGGCAGGAGGAGCTACAGGAGGATGGGCTCATTGTAATGGCTGGAATGGAATAAATGGAACAGTTTCCATATGTTTGACTCCGTTCCATGTATTCCATTCCAGCCATTACAATGAGCCCGTCCTCCTATAGCTCCTCCCGCCAGCCTCCACTGGTATGTACAATAAGGTAGGGGTAAAGTGACTAGGCAACAGGATAGATAATAGACAGTAGCAGCAGTATACTGTAGGTAGGGGTAAAGTGACTAGGCAACAGGATAGATAATAGACAGTAGCAGCAGTATACTGTAGGTAGGGGTAAAGTGACTAGACAACAGGATAGATAATAGACAGTAGCAGCAGTATACTGTAGGTAGGGGTAAAGTGACTAGGCAACAGGATAGATAATAGACAGTAGCAGCAGTATACTGTAGGTAGGGGTAAAGTGACTAGGCAACAGGATAGATAATAGACAGTAGCAGCAGTATACTGTAGGTAGGGGTAAAGTGACTAGGCAACAGGATAGATAATAGACAGTAGCAGCAGTATACTGTAGGTAGGGGTAAAGTGACTAGGCAACAGGATAGATAATAGACAGTAGCAGCAGTATACTGTAGGTAGGGGTAAAGTGACTAGGCAACAGAATAGATAATAGACAGTAGCAGCAGTATACTGTAGGTAGGGGTAAAGTGACTAGGCAACAGGATAGATAATAGACAGTAGCAGCAGTATACTGTAGGTAGGGGTAAAGTGACTAGACAACAGGATAGATAATAGACAGTAGCAGCAGTATACTGTAGGTAGGGGTAAAGTGACTAGACAACAGGATAGATAATAGACAGTAGCAGCAGTATACTGTAGGTAGGGGTAAAGTGACTAGACAACAGGATAGATAATAGACAGTAGCAGCAGTATACTGTAGGTAGTGGTAAAGTGACTAGACAACAGGATAGATAATAGACAGTAGCAGCAGTATACTGTAGGTAGGGGTAAAGTGACTAGACAACAGGATAGATAATAGACAGTAGCAGCAGTATACTGTAGGTAGGGGTAAAGTGACTAGGCAACAGGATAGATAATCCTATGGAGGTGCCACAGGGTTCAATT